AGGCCCCCAGCACCCCAGCACCCCGCAGGTCCCAGCACCCCCAGGCCCCCAGCACCCCGCAGGCCCCGGAGGGAGGCCCCGTTGGTCCCTGCCTGCACCCGCCGTGCCGACCCCGCAGTGCCCGCCGCATCTCCAACCTGACGTGCGCCCCGGGCCGCCGTGAGGTTCGCGGCTCTCTGCCTTCCTCGGCCGGTAGCCGTAAACGCCCTTCTCCGTCTGGTAGCCGCGCCGCAGAAGCGGGGCGGCCCGGCTGCCAGCCCTTCGTGCCGCTGCCACAGAGGCCGAGGCCATGGCTAGTCTGGGTCGATGGCCGGAAGATAGCTCGGAAAAGCAGCAGCTGCTGAGACAGAGGGTCGCGCGGGAGGACAGACCTCAGGCCAGAGAGCTGCGGCCCCGCCCTCGAAAACGCCCCGCGCCTCATTGGCCAAGGGACCGGCCACAGAGCCAATCACAGGCTGCGATCCTGAGCCCTGGCCACACCCCGAATTGGGGCGGGGCCTCGAGGGGCGGTACCAGGGCCGAGGCTACCCTGCAAAGCAAGGTGCCTGAACGTACTTCTGGTATAAAAATATGGTCTGTCTCTGTACAGCCTGCAGTTTCCCACCATGACATTCACCCTCTGCTAGAAGCCTCAGAACACAACATCGTTCCCCTCACAGAAAGGACAAAACAAGGACGCAAAAAGGAAAGAATTTGGGAAGAAGTGGAACATGGTTTCACCATCTTTTTAAAATTAGCCTACAAAGTGGCTAATTATGGGTTTTCATTATGGGTTTTCATTCATACTTTGTGCTTATTTATCCTCTTTCCTTACTGCCCTCGCCCCTCCCCTTGAGCTCCTTTTGTTCATGTCACACATTTTATGATCCTTTTCCCCAGCTTGAGATCTCTTTCACACTCTCTACTTCCATGACCCCCACACATACATTTTCACAGATCTAAAAATTAAAATATACTAGTGAGTTCCGGGCCAGGTTGGGGCTACAGGGAAACCCTGTCTCAAAAAGACCAAAAAAAAAAAAAGAGGGGGCTGGAGAGATGGCTCAGCAGTTAAGAGCACTGACTGCTCTTGCAGAACACCTGGGTTTGATTCCCAGCACCCATATGGCAGCTAGGAACCATCCTTAACTCCAGTTCCAGGGGAATCCGAAGCCCTCTTCTGACCTCCGTGGCATTGCACAACACAGGTGCACTCACTTACATGCAAGCAATACATTCATACACATAAAATAAAAATAATAAATAAAATAAAATGGTTTTTTCTTTTTACTTGTCATAATGGAAATCAAGGTCTTATATTAGTACTATCATATATAGAGAGTTCTATATCAATATATAGAGGTAACAACAGTACTGTAGCCAAATGGCCTATGTGCCGGTAGATATCAGACTATTAGTTCCAATTCCATCTTTTCTACTGATTGGTCATGTTTTCTCTGGTCTACAGCATCTTTAAGGTTTCTTCAAGCACTAAATGCTTTGACTCTAAATTTTAATATAAAAAGTAAAGGGGCCAGAGAGATGGCTCACTGGGTAAAATGTGCCTGCCACCAAGTATGATAACCTGAGTTTCCAAGAGTCAATGGTAGAAGGAGAGAATCAACTCCCCTAAGTTATCCTTTGACCTTCCCATGTGTTTATGGAACACACACACAAACAAGAAATAAATAATGTAATAAATGTTTCAAATTTGTTTGAATATTTATTTATCTGTGAGTGTATATGTCTCTGTGCATTTGTCTGTGTGCATATGTCTATATGAGTCCAGAAGAGGACATCAGATTCCTTGGAGCTGGAATGACAGGCATTTATGAGCTGCCTGATGTAGGTGTTAGGATTTGAACTCCAGTCCTCATGATTGACCAGCAAGTGCTCTTGACCACGAAACCATCTCACAAGCCCATAAAAAAATTTTTTTTGAAAGAGGATCTCCTTGTTAGTCCAAGCTGACCTGGAATTCACGATGTAGACTAGGCTAGCCTTGATCTCACAGAGATCCACCTGCTTCTGCCCCTCGAGTACTAGGATTAAAGGCATACACCATCATACTCTGCTATAATTTTCTTTTAAGTTAAGGCTGTATATTGGATCACTAAATGAGAAGTTAAGAATGTTACCTCACCAGGCCCTGTAGCACATCCTTGAAATCCCAGTTACCCCCAAGACAGAAGGAAGGGTCACAAGTTGGAAGTGAGCATGAGTGACTTAATAAGATCCTGTCTCAAATTTTTTTAATCAAAAAATAAAAAAAATTGGAGCTGGGCCTGGTGGTGCATGCCTTTAATCCCTGCATTCTGGAGGCATAGGAAGGCAGATCTCTGTGAGTTTGAGGCCAACCTGATCTACATAATGAGTTTTAGGCAAGGTGGGGCTACATAGAGAGATCCTGTCTCAAAAAGGAAAAGAGATAAGGGAGATTAATGGAATATACAAGGTAGGGGTTTTCATGATTTCCAGAATGCTTTAGCTCTTTAGAATATTCTGAACCAAATATAGCAAAATGTTAGTATTTTTTAAATTATAGGGAATTAAAATATAGACATTATTTTCTTGAACATATGAGGCCTTGTGAGCAAATAGGGGTTGTATCAGTTTCATAATTAGGGTTGGCAATTATCAACAACTGAGTAGGTGAATAGGAATATTCTAGATACTGGCTTATACTATCTCATTAATAGTGTTTAAATATGTGAATGGTCAGCTCACCTGGATAAACATAGGCTGGACTATACTTTGCTTGGTTTGATTTTCTATTTATTATATGTCTATGCATGTATTGCCTACATGTGTGTAAGTGCACCCATGTCATGCAATGCCCACAGAGGTCAGAAGAAGGTCAGATCCCCTGGAACTGGAGTTACAGTTGTTAGCTGCCATGTGGGTGCTGGGATCAAACCAGGTCTTCCACAAGAACAGCCAGTGTTCTTAACTCCTGAGCCATCTGTCCAGTACCTGGTTTGATTTTTTTAATTTATTATTTGATTTTTTTTATTACTTTATGATTTCTCTCTCTCTCTCTCTCCTTTTTTTATTTCTTCTTTCTTTTCTGTGCATGTGTATGTGGGTGGAGGTCAGAGAACAACTTTTGGGAGTCCATTCTCTCCTTCCACCATGTGGGTCCCAGGGATGAAACATCAGACTTGACAGCAAGGACCTTTACCTGCTGAGTCATCTCCCTAGCCCTTGCTTCATTTTCTAAAGTGATAGCTATGAAGCAGGGTGTGGTGGTGCACACCTGTAGTCCCAGCACTTGGGAGGCAGGTGGATCTCTGTGAGATCAAGGCCAGCCTGGTCTACCTAGTGCGTTCTGGGGCTACAGGGAGACCCTGTCTCAAAAAGACAAAAAAAAAGTCATAACTATGCTAGTATGTATAGTTATTTATACCTTATTTATTTATTTTTATGTTACTTATTTTTTTACTTTATGTGTATGAGTGTATTGCCTGCATGCATGTAAGTACACCTGTGTCATACAACGCCCATGGAGTTCAGAAGAGGGCACTGGATCCCCTGGAACTGGAGTTACACATGGTTGTTCGCCTCCATGTAGGTGCTGGGAACTGAACCTGGGTCCTCTACAAGAGCAGCCAGTGTTCTTAACCACTGAGCTATCTTTCCAGCCCCTACACTTTATTTTTAAAATTATTAGTATATATTGTCTGTGCAGACTAATGAATTTAATGTTAACATTTTCTTTTTTTTTTCTTAATTTTATTTTATGTGTATGAGTGTATTGCCTGCATG